TCTATTTTCCCCTACAAAATCTACCCAGCCTAATGTGCATGTTTTATAAACATATGCGTATGTATTTGTAACCATTGAAGAAAAAACTGCATCCATTTACTTTACATTGTCTTATGTTTGTTCTCATTACAGGTGTCTGGTATAATAGTGACCATCGCGATTGGGTTCGTATTGCTGGCCGATAGTACCCACTCCACCCTGCTAAGGGTCTGAGGCCGTTATCGTTGCGAAAGTCATCATTTGGCGCCAGCAGCAGCAGCAGCGGTAGCATCAACGCTTGTCCACCCCCACCACCTACACCGCACAGCGCCAGCAGCTCTTGCACTGCTACCAACACCACCACTACCATCAACAACAACAACAACAACAAAACAAAAAGCACCATCACAGTTGCAGGCACTATTAATCATCTCATCAATACTAATCGCACAAATGATATTATAAAAGGTGGCAGTAAAACAGCAGCAGCAGCAGCAGCAGCAACCACATCCCACAGAGTAGACGCAACAACCACTCCGCCAGCAGCAACTTGCAGTTCACCGTGCAATCAATTGCAGGTGAACTATTTTGAATTCCCACCAAATCTCGCTTTATTGGCAACCGGTTCCACTCCATCGCTGGCGACAACAACTGCTGTAGCGTTAGCCGCATCCACCACAAGCACCCCTGCCCTCACATCCGCCACAAATTCACCCAAAAATTTCTACCAGCCACAACATCACTCACACTATTACCAACCACATTTGCACCAGCACCAACACCACCAGCAAAAGAGCCAGCAGCACCACCCCCAACCAAACAAAATTATTCAACATCAACAACAATCGCGACAACATTATTCACACTTTTCAAAACAACCACAAGCTGAATTTGAGGCTGAATTTAGCAGAGAAGCAGAAGAGCTACTAAGTTTGTCAACAGCAGCAAATAAGGGGGCCGTAATACCCGTTTTAGCTACGCCACCAGCAAATAAAATGGGACGACGCGAAATAAAAAGGTCCAACACCAGCGGTTCCACTATAAAATCATACGATGGTGGCAGCGGTAAGTTGATAAAAAAATATATATACTTTTTTTAGGATAAAAAGGTAAAAACCTGGCAACTCTGTATTAAAAAATATTCTTACAAAATAGTTAACACAAATTTAAACTTAAGTAAATATATGCAGCTATGTAACAGTTTTGCATTAGCCCTCTCAGGACCATCACCATTGAAAGCTGAGTAATCAATCTGATGTAAAAAAGGAAATGTATGTCAAAAAATATCTTTTTTTTTAATAATGTTCATGCATTTAACATGAAAAGTAATTTATTCCTAGTTTTTCGTTATAACAAATTTGTAATCTCATAAATTTTTACCTGGAACAATTAACTTTTTATAACAAAATTTTTTTTTTTTTATCAAAGCTTTTCTCTACAGATATTTTCCAAATTATTCTAAAGAAATAATTTCTCTAAAGAAATAATTTTTTACCAGAAGAAATAGTTTTACTGGAAATATTTTTTCTCCAAAAGAGCCTTATTTCTGAGGTTGGTGGTTTCTTTTCTAATTCGGTTAGCATATTTTTTTCCTTAAAAAAAAAAAAACTTTTTTTTTAGAATATGGGATTTCGTAAAAATCTATTTTTTCTTAAAAAAATTCCTTAAAAATTATTTATGGTAAAAAATTCCGATTTCCAAAAAAAAATTTAGTTATAATAATTTTTCTAATTTTGACAAAAAAATTCCCCAGCTTAAAATATTCCAGTAGTCCCCGTCTTCGTGAATGCAACAAACACTGTTTTAAAAGTAGACGGCCAGTCGATCATCCGTTTATACATACATATGTACATATTACAAATAACACTGGTTTTCAGCAAAAATATTTCACGAATAACTCAATCCACTGCTGATGTAGTAGAGATGGGCGATGTCGTTACGTTTGAGGAACAGTGGAATTTAGTCTGTAAGCTATTTTTTTTTCTACGGATAGGTTTTCGAGATATTTCCAACTTACCATAATTCAGCTAAACAGAAGTTGTTCCACTTAATATTGTATATCTTCCGAACCAATTGAGCAACCTTAATAAGAAGTATTGCAAATGAAAGTTTACGAAATTCTTCATAAGCTGCATATAAATCACTTTTCGACAGGCTACTTTTGGAGAAGTGAATAAATCATTCCATTTTTTTTTTATGAATAACTATATGTAAATGGGGATTTATTTTATCAACAAAAAGTAACATTAGTATAATAATAATTCTGTTATTTTTTATTAGCCAGTTTCCTATCTTGGGGTCGTTTTCTCAAGTAACCTGTAACTTTTAAGCTCACTTTATATTTAATGGTTGCATTAAAAACCAAGAAACATACCTACATTAAAAAGCCATGATAACAAATAAGATGGTAGAACCGCAGAGAGGAATTTATCAAATTCTTGACGTTTGCAAGCAATTTAGTTTTAAAGTTTTACACACAAACTCACACACATATTCTCACTTTGAATCCCAAACAACAACAACTTCGAACAATTCCTTTTTACAAGCTTTTTTTACTATCCGATTTATATGATTTTAAAATGTTGACACTCTTTAAAAAAAATCATAGCCGACGAATTGAGATAACGGTTTTACCTTACTATGGTTTTATCGTGTTAAAAACCGATAATATAAATGCTGAGCTTAAGACATAGGCTACTTCAGAAATCGGCCCTTACTGTGTACAAATTTAAACACCGTGTTAATTAAATTAAGCTCTATTTGTTTACTTTTACATAACATATGTGTGTCGGAGAGGATCGATCCTTTGCAACTCCCAACAATTTGCGTTTGTGCTCCTTAGTTAAACGAGCGTTCCAAAAGATGGTTTTCAATCGCTTCTTTTTATAAAAATGTTTTACATAAAATTACATATATATTTTGAAATTTTGTGAAAAAAATTAAAAAACAATGACACTTTAGTGACAAATTGATTTGACAAAAATTAAATCGGCTGATTTAAATGATTTAAAATGATCCAGTGAATAGATAAAATGATGTTTGTAATAATTTGATCTAATCACTGCATAATTTTAAATGTGTATTATGACTTGTTCAACATATTAATTTCTTAACCCCAAATTTATCGTGGAAATATAAAGTTTAATATCTTGGCGCACCGTGCTCGAAAAACGATCTTATGAATAGCTATCCTACCTGAAATTACTTGTATACACACATACATCCACACATACATATGCAAGAAGATAATGCACATTTTGTGTAAATTTGCATTCCATTTACGTTTCACATTAGATCAAATTCTCTTAATAACGTCCCACCTTTAATTCGACTCGCTCTAAACTGTATATATGTATGTATGTCGCCCCTTTGCAGCTGCACCTCTACAGCAGGTGAGCCGAATTGACAACAACATCACTACAGCGTAATTGGCGCGCGCTAAGCTACTCGCATCCAGGCTAACCTAACACTAACACTAACAACCTAACGAGCTTTCTATGCTCGCAGCAAAATGAATGGGCCAAACGATTCGCAGCCGTACAACTTTGCCTATCTCACATTTCAACGATTCAGAATGGGCAAGCGATAAGCTCACTCTCATTAGCGTAATATAGAGGCCATACTGTACATAGATTTATGTGTAGGAGAGATGCTATAATCGCTAGCCGTGCTAGACAGGCGTGATTCAATTTTACATGATAATTGTAATGTAACTCAATTTGTACATTAAACCCAGAAATTGCTATGTATTAAAAGGACAAGTGATGCACAAACGTTTTGCGTTGTATGTACGTACAAGCAACAGGTTGGCCTTTATATTTTCATTAATGCCAAAATAAATATTTTGAATAGTTATCAGCTTACCCGGCGCGCTTTGCTACAGCCTACAAATTTCAGTATGCAACTCATGAGAAACTATTTTAGACACATATAAATACTCATATCACACATGATCTTCAAACGTGACACAACTCAAAATTTTTCATTTTTGAAATTATGCACTTAAAATGTACGCAGAGCTTTTATTTACCTTTAAGCAAAAGCTCGAGCAAATCTGTGTTATAATTTGTTGAAAAGAAAAGGTAAGGTCTCCCTGACACACACAAGCGTTCGAATTGTTTTTTTTTGCGTTTGCATTTGATCCCATTGAGCGAAACGTCAAATCAAAATGTCATGCAGAACAAAAATTAGAAATTGAGTTAGCTTCATACGCACGCCGTTCATTTTCGGTTGGTCCCATACAAGTTGTATGTGCATGAGAAATGTTTGACAGTAAATTGGCGGCGTGCGTGAATATTAGGTTAGCCTGTTAGTCATTTGATGTGTGGTACCATAAAATAAAAGGCGCTTAGTAAGGGTTTCATCATCTTAAAAGTTTAAGAATCCCTGTTCTATTTAGTGCGGATACTCCTTTTTGATTCAGTTAGCATGTCGTAAGCATAATTGCTGTATTTCGAAGGTTGAGTGCAAGATCGCCCTGTCTCGGCTGCGGGTTCAAAAATCCGCTACCTCTGCTGCCGATGTAATGAATTTACATATATTGAGGTAGTGCGTTTCGAATAGGGAGCTGTGATAGGAGATTTTCTAACCAATTTCTTACGTAGGGCGTTCTTCAACCATTTGCTGATGTAGGGTATTCGAGATAGAGCGATATTCCCCTCAGCCGCCGATTTGTAGCAAAGAGAATTTACGCGACCTTAATCTTCTCTACATTACTTTCTCTGAGGAAACTTTGGGCGCCTTGGAAAACAGTATTATGCAAACCACTTCTTGAAAAACTGTTAGAAAATTGGGATTCCGAACCAGCCGTGGCGGCCAAAGGCTTGAAATTATATGCGTACACTGATAACATACAACTAAATTGTTTAATTAAGTAAATTTCCTATTTGAAATTAAAAGTTTATTAGCTCTGAAAAACATTTAAAATTTTTAGGTTCATACTAACTCTGCTCTACAGTTATTCTTGAAAATTCTCCAACTATCTCAAAAGAAAATTATTTGAGAACAACATGAAATAAATAGTTCGTTGTTACACTAAGAAGATTTACAAGTTTTATTCGTTTTTTTTTTCAAATTTAACACTTCAGTTTAGGATGAAGTCGTCGAGTAATTAGCTCACTTAAAATTTTAAAGCACACTTATCTAATATACGTTTAAGGCAGTTAGAATAACATCTTTAAAAAAAACATTCATTATATTCATAAACTAAAACCTAAATACATTAAATAAAAAAGGGGCACAAAAAGTATTATAAATTAAAACCAAAAGTAAACAACTCTTTAAAAATAGCTTAAGCTTACAAATTAAATAAAAACTATGGTTAATAAATGCTTTTTGTGAAAATTAAAACTCCCATACGCCTAATAAATACTCTTCGAAATTTATTCGTATTGTTGATTCAAATATCCGATGATATTATCGCGAATATTATCTGCGCAAGGATTCAAATCAAAAAAGACTAAATTACAACCATAGCGTTCGAAGCAACTATACCGCACAGTCCGATCGTTTGGCGAGCAGCAGCTAGCGATAGCCCAAACGCAGGCTGAGGAGGAAGATGGTGGTTTTGGTGGAGCTGCTGTTGGATATTGGGCGGGCGCATCGGTGATTACGGAATGATGAACAGATCCCTCATTAGCGAAGCTTGGTTGAGCAGTTGTTCGGCTAGGGGGTCCTGCTGCTATATAAGTGGCGAAGAATTAAAGAAAGTGTAAATTAGATATTAAAAAAAAGAATACAGATTTAGGATAATTATTATATTATGGCACTTACTTACTGCTGGTAATGGTGAGGGCGAGGTGCGCTTAGGAAAAAGCGGTGCTGGCGCTCCAATCGTGATATTTAAACGTTGATTTGCTGCAAGTTGATGGCGGTTAGTACCAGGTGCTAAGCTATTCGTTTAAGAATAAAGTTTTATTTTAACTCACGATTTCTTGTTGGTGTATAATCACGCCAAATTACGCGGTCAGTATTGGAGGGTCCACCAAATCTTGACGCAAACTGAATGACATTAACAGGGCCGTTAAAGTAATCGCCAGGAACTGGATGTCTGAGAGGATAAAATAAAAGGCAAAAATAGATTGTTAGAAATATTCTGTATTTTATAGTGAACTAAACAAATGTGTTTTTAAAGCGCTACGAGCTAAATTAGGGGTTAAATAGCCTCACAATCTAACATTCTATAATTTAGCGCATTTAATGCATTTTTCATGTATAAGCATCTTAGCTCTCGGTGTGAGTGGAATTTTCGTTAGCCCAGCAGCAAATTTGTAACTGCTTCTGGTGTAACTCAGTAGAAAATCAGTAACTGCTCTCGTGTGTTCAAATGAACCTTACTGGACTAGTATAGGGCCTACTTACCGACTGGTTTAGGCCTATTTCGAGACTAGCTTGGTATCATTTCAGAACTCTTTTTAGACCTTTCAGCTCTAGTTTTGGATCATTTGAAACTAGTTCTGGAAATTTTTCGGACGAGTTCAGGTTTGGCTCAGGTCTATTTTGGTTTCATTTCAGGACTAGTTCAAGACTATTTCGGGATAATAATAATATTATGGCGCTTTCACTTTTGGTAAGCGTTTGGACGAGCTTCTCCTCCATTTTGTTGTATGCGTCTTGATGTTTTTACATGAAATGAAGGACCTAAAGTTTAAAGCCGACTCCGAACGGCAAATGGGTTTCGCGAGAAGCTTTTTCATGGCAGAAATACACCTTGAGGTTTGCCATTGGCTGCCGAGGGGCGATCGCTGTTAGAAAATACTTTTCCAATTTAGGGATTGTTCACAAAAATATTACAGGACAATTTCAGGACTAGCTGAGGAACATTTCGGTATTAGTTCGGCATGATTTTGGAAATAGCTCAGGAGCATTTAGTGACTAGTTCGAAATCATTTTGGGGCTTGTAAATCACCATTTCAGGATCCTTTCAAGACTTGTTTGAGATCATTTCGGGAGTATAAAGAACAATTATATTAAACTTATTCTTATTATAAAACTTAGACCTTAGAGCAATATTAATCGAATTATTAATCTCAATCGTAATTATTAATATTAATCTTAATCGTACTCTTTATTTTTATCGTAATCATAATGTTAACCTAAACGTTAGTCTTTAACTTAGCCTTAATCTTAAAGTTAATCTCAATCCTAATATTAGTCTTAATCTTAGTCTTAATCTTAGTCTTAATCTTAGTCTTAATATTCAGGCAGGTTCTGCAATTCATTTCCCAGCGAATTTCAATATAAGCTCAAAGTACTTTGGTTGAAATGCACTCGGAAGTGAATTGCAGAACCTGCTTGGTTAATCTTAATCATAATCTCAACCTTAATCTCAATCTTAATCTTAATCTGAGTCTTTACCTTAATCTTATTCTTAATCCTAATTCGATCGCTATCCCATTCTCAACATTTCCTCTACCTAAATTTGGGTCTCAATAGAGATCCTAGTCACTGCTCTGCCCTAGTGGGGTCTAGAGGACGCAGATTTCAACTTTGTTGTTTTATTGTCTGCTGTACCTAGGCGCAGCAGGCGCTGATGGATTTCTAACTACATATTTAAGTGAACGTATAGGAATGAGACCAGCCCCTCAAGCAGCATCACAACGATACCGCTGGTTCTAAATATTTCTGCAGCCACTTCGTCTGCACCTGAACCAAGGAAATCTTTGTCATGGAATACCACTAGTAGTAGAGAATAAATCTGTCGCCGAATTCTTTAATGAATCGATTTGGAGATTTCGTATATTTTTCACCATAAAGAGGTTAACTTGCTAATATTTTCATTATTCCAATTCGATTAGCAAACTCCAGATTATGGCTAGTAAATATTGAAACTGCATAATATATTTACAAACATACTTACTTTTCAAAACGTTTAACTGGTGGATAACTTGGCAAGTAATAATTGGCTATATGCGCTGGTCCACTTATGCTATTGGCATTGGTGGACACTTTTCTAAAGCTATAGTATGGATTGCGTTTGCGCAGAATATGTTCATTCTGCGATATTGTGTCCGCATCACGACGTTGACGACGATGATGGAATTTTTTCGGTCGCTTATGGAGCACACGCTTCACTTCATCATCGCTTTGCACCATTTTTGAATCGGCATCAGCCAAAGAGATGACTTCGACGTGCAACTTCGATGATGCAGCTTTCGATTCATCCGAAGTAACGAGCGGTGATGGCGATAATATATCGAAATAAATTTTTTCCGGTTCCAAGGGATGATATTTCTCAGCACTGAAGTGATCACCAATGCGACGACGCCGATGAGCTGGATCTTTATGTTTACGCTGGCGATGAGTGTTGTTCTTTTTGGGTACTGTTTTTCAAGTAAAATGGAAAAAAATTAAATGCTTTCATTGAACCGTCGCGTTCTTATTTTACGAAATTTACCAAAATCTTCGCTAACAAAGTCCTCTTTATACATAATAACCGGATGATCCTCCTTCAAAATGCCGTTCACCATTTTAGCTTGGTGAAACTACACAAAGACAAAATGAAATTTTTTAATTTCGTGTTACCAAATAAAACTTATGCAGATGCATGTATGTACACTGCGGTTAATATGGGCATGCCTTTTTTATTGGGTGCATATGTATGTATACTATGTATGTATGTTTATAACCCACCTCAATGTTGTCGGCATCCCCATACTCCTCGCTCAGTGGTAGTCCATCTTCCACAGGTACGACAACATCGCTCTCCGTCTCCTTCGGACGTGAATTTACTGGCACCGCAATCAACAGTAAAGCACATGCCAGAAACAAATAGCCGTGAAACTTCCGTTTACACCGGAAGTCACTGACATACGACGCAGTTATGCCACTAAACCAGGTCATCACTGTGTGCGCTGTGCGTATGAAGTTATGTATGTATGTATGTATGTAAGTTTATGAGTTGCAATCTCTAGGTACTTTTCAACTTCAGTGTTTGTAAAAGGACGGAAGTGGGCGCGCGGCTAAGTTTGCATACGTATATAGGTGTCAAAAGTTTGTAGTTGATTATTGTATGCTGCCTCTGCAAGGAAATGTTGAAAAATAACTACATACATTAGATTACTCAATATAAGTAAACATGTTTTTAATATAGAAATAGTTTTTTTTATAAATATGAACAATATACATAAATGAAAACTATGTATGCATGTATATTTCCTGTAAATTTAAGCATAATAAATATAGTTAGCGGCCGCTGTGGTGTAGTGGTAAGCAGTGCGTGCTTCCACTCCGCACAGCACCTGGGTTCAAACACTGGTCAAAGCAACATCGCAAAAAAAAAAATATGAAAAAAAGGTTTTTTCTTAATAGCGGTCGCCCCTCGGCAGGCAATGGCAAACCGCCGAGTGTTTTTCGGCCATGAAAAACAGCTTCTCATAAAAATCGCCTTCGGAGTCGGCGGAGAAGCGTGGCCAAACACTAACATATGTGTAAGCGCCAATATATTATTTATATATATTAAATATATTTAAAACTATGAATATAGGTAAGAGTAAAAAGTTGCTAAGTCGATTTTTACAAAGTTGACGGGAAAGGAAAATATAGTCGTATAGCATGTTTCTTCAAGTGTTTTGAAAGACTTGGAATACAATATTTTGCCTCTCTAAAAGAAAGCAAGACGTACTGCAAATCAGAAGGATTCGAGGTTATCTAAAAGCTTTGGTATTATTTTTGCATAACCGCATTTTCTGTGCTTCATTTGGACTTAGTAAGGTTGCTTTTCTTTGAACTTTTGACGCTAAGGCTATCGATATACTATCTTTTTTTCAGTACATATTTATGTGCTCCACACGTCGTATACGCAATATTCTGCATGCGGACGACTTACATACATAAGTTACTCATACGCACTGTCGATTGTTACAAACAAATATGAAACAAAATGAAGGCAAAAAGTCTATCCGCATTATCAGGCCAACTGGGAATTTAGTTTTGCTTGAGTAATTTGTGTTTTCGTTTATTGGCGTAGCTTCAAAAACTCGTAACTTCCAGACTTTTTGAAATTCTGTCTCGAAAAAAAAGGTTATTGGAAAGATAGATTATAGTTTTTTAACTGAATATGGTTTGGTTTCAAAATTCAAACTCGACGACGTCTCGGAAGTTGGCATACGGTATGATGCAAAACGCCTAAAAAAAGTTGTTCTGAGTTCTTGAAAAGGGAAAAAAAGTTCTGATTAATTTGACAAAAAAAATTTTTTTTCAAAACTTGTGTATGTATGCCAGATTCACATACGACATGTGGCAAAAAGGAAAATCAAAAATTGCTCTGAGTGGCTTTTTAATAGTTCTAGAGTTACTGAGAAGGAAAAAGAAAGTTCCGCAAAATAACGCGGAAAAGAACGTTCTTTTTTTTCGAAAAAGTCGTAAAAGTTATATTTTGAAAAAAAATGTAATAAAATTTAAAACTGTTCTGAGTAGCTTCCCAATAGTTTTAGAGTTCCTGAGATGGAAAAAAAAGTTCTTCAAGATTAAGCCGAAATTTTTTTTTTTTCGAAAAAGTCTAAAAAGTTAAATTTGTGGAAAAAAATAAAAAGTAAAACTGTTCCGAGTACCTTGTCAAAAGTTCTAGAGTTCCTGAAAAGGAAAAAGAAAGTTCTGCAAAATTAAGCCGAAAAAACATTTTTTTCAAAAAAGTCAAAAAAGTTTATTTATTGAAAAAAATAAAAATTAAAACTGTTCTGAGTAGCTTTTTAAAGGCTCTGGAGTTCCTGAGAAAAAAAAGAAAGTTCTGCAAAATTACGCTGAAAAAAACTTTTTTTCGAAAAAGTCTGTTCTGAGAAGCCCTTCAATAGTTCTAGAGTACCTGAAAAGGAATCGTTGAAAGTAGACTGCCTCCACTCCGTAAGAGAGAATCCACAACCCTGTAATAAAACATCTTTTGAGCAACGTTGAACTGTTAGTGCTGAACCATTTGGTGGCCGCAAATGTTATGAGAATTAAGGAATTAAGGGAAAACATTCAGCACTCAAAGCGTCGAACTGTAGCGTCATCCGGTCACAGCCGCTACTTGGCACTAAATGGCTTCTTATGTCATAAAATAACAAAAAAAATGCAAATTATAATTTCATTTCAAAGGACTTCAAAATATTTTTCCTATAACTTCCACAATACTCAAGAGAAGATGCAACCTCAAGGTTCATGAGTGCGAGAACCATCTGAAGTATTCGCAAGGGGGCGTGCTTAAATTTTATCTTGATTGCTGAAATTCTTTAAAGGAATGCCGGTCACACAATTACTATCACGTTTTGGCCCGCATTGCATTAAAGAAAAGAGAAAAGCACTTTCCTGAGCTAATCACCTGGCTATACTAATTTTTTCTATCTACACAATCTTCTTATTCGTATGAAGTTTTGCTTAGCTTTTAACATGCAAAATGTATTTAAAGATTTGCGAAATACTTAAAGGAAATGGGTATAAAAAGCTTTTTCCTCTTCTTTGAAATTAAAAAAATTTAACTTAGCAACTTTCCACTCTAAGCTGGCGATATGTACACATATATATTTTCTTAGAAAATATCAGAAAAATTAAGACAATAAATTTCTATTAAAGATGGCGTGCGCAAGTATGCAAACCTCCTCTATTGAAAATCAGAGTTTCAGTTCACGAATGCATATTCTTTTACAGTGTTTCATACAACTACATACTGCTTTCCATTTCTCCATTAGCCTTTGGCGTAGGCATTTATACACATGTAACAAGCGCAACGCCACAAAGTCAAAAGAGGCAATTCAAAGTTTTTCCATACGCAACAGAATATCTGGCGGCTGTCGCGACTAAATTAAAAAGTTACCGAAACAAATCCACTGTAAAGATGAGTAAAAACCACAGTTATTGCCACAGGTTGCTTACAGTACAAAAAAAAAAAATTTGACTAGCTATGGAAACATCGCGGAAGTTTATTTACATAAATTTAAAACTTTAGTTTTAAGAATAAAGTAAGAAAATATGAAAGTATGAAATATGTGAGCTATACATATTCAAATGGCAACTCGTCTTCTTCATAAACATTCATACATATATACATATATATATATACCCAGCTATGTACCCATCTTGTGCATTGGCTTGGAAGTTTAAGTAAAATGAAATTCATTCGCTGAAGGAGTAATTAACTACCAACACTGCCACAAATGTGCTGCAAGTTGAAGGCAACACTAAATTAACATATTTATCTGTAGAACCCAAAGTAATTTATAAATGCGCTTTTGCAGCACGCTTATGTATTTGGTTTTTTTGTCGCATTTACCTACTTGTTTGCGATTGCGGGCGGCGTTCTTACACATAAAATGCTACTTGCACGGAAGTGCAATTGTTCAGCTGCCACCACTTCTATTGTATGTATTCTGAATGCCTAATGTGCGAACGTATAAAAAACTTACAATACACACATATCTCTGTACATGCATTCATGTAGCCGCATGTAATTGCTATAAAAAAAATATGCAAATAGCTGTGGTAAATGAGCAGTAGAAACACTACAGGCAATTTGCATAGATAAATACTTATCTAAGTACTATAAGTCTGGTAAAAAGCTGCGAAAAAGGCTCATCTTTTGAATTGATTAGGGCATGGGATTTGAAATACATAATATATTATAGTTAAAACATTGTCAGTTGTTAGCTGCGTAGTAAAAATTCGATCATTATAGATAAAAAATTGAAAAATTGTTTACGTTCAGTTGCAGTTGTTTTCGTTTGTGAAAAACACAAATGGTTTTTAGCTGGTTTCAAAATGTTTCGTTTTTCAGCAAAACATAAACTTTTGTTTACATCGTCGAACACGCACCTACCTATGTCTACACACACAACTGTTTTCATAATATTGTTGTTATTTATATACATATATTTTTTCACTTTTCTGCGCACTTCTATAAACATGGCTTTGTTGTTAGCAAATAGTTCCATGACGTTTTGAAGCCAATTTGTTTATAACATTCACTCTGGCTTCCCAAACTTGCGCACTATACTTTTATATGTACCAGTGCAAGTAATTACAAGAACAAAATTCATTTTAAGTTTTAACAATTATTCACATTAAACACTTACACTCATAAAATATGAACCCAATTAAGGACAAAACGTGTACGCGATTCGTTTTTGTAAAAAAAAAAATATTATAAAGCATTCAACGCGCGGCACGTCCAGCTGGCTGTAAATCAAGTGAAGAATTGAGAAGTCATACACCCGGCATGCTTTTATATATCACCAGCAATGAGTCAATTTTTGCTCTCATAACAATTGCTGGTAGGTATGCATTTATGTGTACACATGTAGTAGAGTAGTAGCGGAGGATCTTGTAGCAACAGTCAAGCAATAAAAAAATATATGCAAAAAAATTCAAAGTAAACAGTTTGTATCAAAAAAAAAACACCGCATCAATCAACAAAAGATATTATTTATTATTGTGAGAAATCAAAAAAAACACAACTAGTGTTCCATTTCTGATCATACTTTCGAAAATACATTTTTCGAGCACACGCTCTGGGTATTGCGAGTTTGTTTTTTTTATTGCTTTATTTATTAACGAGAGTGTAAAAATGATCATTACCGATTTTGGAAAAGCTTAAAAGTTATGTATCTACTGATAATGCTTTATTCTGGCCGATAAGCCACTGCTCTTTTTCTGTCCCTCCTCCCTTCTTTAACACACGGGTTTTTCATTTAAGTTGTTCCATTCGATGTTTGCCATTTAAATGCGTCACTATTTATTATATCGCATTACGCTTCAATATTTACATACACACACCCCGTTTCAAAATTATAAGCGCATAATATATATTGACAAGTTTTAAGAATTAATTTTTTTGTTGTTTGATTTTAATTTTTTTCTCTTTTGTATTAAAGTAGCTCTTTGATAGAAATCGTTAATCCGAATTTCCAAATTTTTGCTGTGCAAAAAAACCAACAAACTTTCTAATAAAATGTGAAAATAAAAAGAAAATTATACTAAAAAAAAATAAATTTTTATAAAAATAAATAAATTTAAAAAAAATTAATTTTCAAAATTTAGAAAAAATTTTTCTTTTTAAAAGAATGGTATTTTAACATTGAAAAAAATTAAGAAAGAAAAAATTAAAAAAACAAAATAGGGTTATACAAATTAAATAAAATAGAAAAATATATATTTTACTTATTAAAAACATAAAATCTAAAGACTTAAACAAATTTAAATAAAAAGAACTCATTAAAAAAAAAAAAAAAAACAAAAAAATTAAATAAATGTTATTGAGCTTGAGGGCATTTCAATGACAATTTTTGCGGAAAAAACAGCAATTTACATTTTTGGTAGAAGTTATAGCTGGTATTTCGGAGATTACTTCTTATCAGACTTCTTCAACTGGTATTCGATTCAACGACCCCAGCAGCCAGTAAACTGTTGTTGTTTTTCCACTTTTTTCTCATGTGTTTAGCCAACTACAATTCCGCTGCTATTTATATTTGATCATGCGGTTGTTGGTTTTGTTGGTTTTTGTTAATAATTCAATTTTTAAGTGTGCTCATCCTTAAGTTATTTGTTTTTATTATTTATGGCCTTATAACGATTATATTCAACAGTTAAAAAAAAAAACAAATGAAAAAGCAACAACCGTTTACATGGCGAACTTATCTACATATGTAGCTCAGTGGGTAAGACTACTGGCTTAGGCGGCTGAGGACATGGATCGACTCCCAGCTGAAGAAATCTGATGAGGAGATGTGCCCAAGGACTCGAACTCGGAGCTTTCGATTGGCATGTGATTTGCTCAAAACAAATTTAAATAAGAAAAAAATCTATTTGAAATACCACAAAAAATGCAATTAAACAAAAGAAAAAAAAGAGAGCTTTTTTTCTAATACATACTTTTGTACCAGAATAACAAAAGTCTTTCGAACTATCTTAGCCAGAATTGCCCTGTAAAAAGAAATAAGAAAATTAAAAAAAAAAGTGATAAGGCTTTTAAATATGTGGTGTGTTTATAATTTTAGCACGGGGTGTATAGTCTGTGTATGTATGCATAAAGTTGTGCCTTTATCTTCTTATCAAATATATGTACATATGTATGTGTGCTACCAACTAGAATCTTATCGTTCACTGGCGACAATTTCATTCATAAATGTTGATTTCAATATTAAGCATTCGATGACGTGTGACATCTGGCATTTGACTTTATAGTAAACATAAACAGAGAAAGGCTTCAATTTTAACAACAAGTAAGTTCACCCTTTTTTCTACTGAAACACCTTTACTCACGTGAAATGACTAATTCGGCAAATAAAGCAACATTTGGAACTTGAAACGTGCCTCAGCATTTTGAAAGATCTTTAACAATGCCGCTAACTAGGTATTATGAAATTCTATGGAAAATATTTAAAAATAATAACTTTTTAACTTCAATGACGTAATGGGAAAAATAAATTACATTCTTTTACAATGCACTAAGTTTTATATGTTAGTTCTTGTCACTGTTGCACAAAATGATGTAGAAATGGGGTGCGCAATTGCCTAACTTATGTACATTGTGGGTAGCTCACTCATACGGATATCCATATTAGGCGCTACTTGTGACAAATAGATTTCAGTGCTTCTCCTTTTCTTCGTGTTTGGTGTTGTAACTATCTAAGCAATTCTGGCCGGGTTCAATAAAGCACGCTAACTGTGTCTCTTCTGTACCTAAATATTGACGGCAATTGGAAAAGTCAAATGAAACCAAGTCCTTCTCCATCTGGTCTTTCCATCGCCTACCACAAGAGGGTTTCCGTGTTGAATACTTTCACAGCGGAAGCAATTGTGTTGTCCATACGTTTGTTACATACATATTTTAACTGACAAAGCCAGCAAAGCCGCCTATTTAAATTCACTAACGTCTGTTCAAGTCGTTATAAAATTGACTGTCCCAGCATCTGCGGTATTCTCCATCTTTTCTTTCTGCTATCAAAAGCGGTTTTTTGAGTCAACTAATAGATGACGGGCTTTCACCCAATACGGTCAATCAGACCTTATATGCAGCTGCTGCGCTGAGGACTGATCAAGCAGTGGCTGGCGCATATGGCTGGAACGATCTTTTTGTGGACCGTAGTGCATCAATATACATAATCTGAATATCACAGTTGGCAAATTATGTGACACTGCTAAAAAAAAGAGTCTGCGCTGACCTACTGAACGAGAGTTTACACCTCTACCTACTCGGTTACGTGACACAATGGGAATTCAGCGGCCAAAAGTAATAAAAGTGGATTCGTAAATTCTAAAAAAGCGACTACGCAGATTCATATCAAAAAGAACTTTTAATAGAGGTGCACATTTGCAGTCATGGGAGAGCTTAAATTAGATAAAATACAAAAATACAAATTTGTAGAAAATTGATTTTGTCGTAAGTAATTTAAATTGATTTATCTATTTCTGGCGGATACATAATAAGCCAATCTGCTTTAGCTTTCTATGTATCTAATGAAATTTATAAGGCAGTTTCACTTGAAACTCTACATCATTTTGTGAGTATAGAATTTTTATAGAGCTCAATTTAAATTGCATACAATTTAGGTAGAATTGAATGGTACAGTGCAAATAAATAGCACGCACATAATTTGGTATGCAGGAATTGTAAATGTTTTCGTATTATCATTTTTAAAAGGAATAAATAGGAACTTCTTTGGAAGTAAAATAAATGTGCCTGCTAATTTTCATCCAAATTTACAAAATTTACTACATGTGGCCAAAAAGTGTAGTACGAAACTCTTCATTATCCCCCGAATTGGACAATTTTGGTGTAAACGTACTCAGTACCTTTCTAGGAAATATAATTAAAAAGTCTCGAAATTTTGCACGAAAGTTTGTTGGATTATTTTTAAATACTGCACAAATTTTAATTCAATGTCACACGATTGGTACTTTTTACAGTTTTGTGCGTGTGGGCTGTTGGTACAAAATTAAAAACAAAATTTTAAACAAGATTTTTTTTTTGTTTGTAGTCACACGAATGGTACAATACAGCGAACTTCTCTGAAGAGGTAAATATTAAAAAGGCAAAACATGCAGAAAAGGCAGAAGAAGGCAATATAGTCAAAAAAGGCAAAAAAAAAGTGAAATTAAAATTTAAATTTTTAATCAAGGAAGTCATAAAACGTGTGATTCTTTAATTTGTTTACACATACGAACAAGCAGACAAAATAGGCAAATGCCTTAAATTCTAAGCCTGATTATAGCTTATTTTAGCTTGTCCCTGCCTTTTTCATGCGTCATTCCTCCATTTTCTTGAAAACGCTCTAGCTTAGCTCGCATTTCTCTGTGCATGCATACATACATTCCTACATATGTATGTTACTGCATAGCTAGTTCATACTTTAATCTGCATTAAATTTTTCTATTTATCGGAATTGCATGTTCTCCAAAAAATTATCTAAACTAAGAAATTTGATGGAATAATTATAAAAATGTATTAATAGAACCTTATTTTATTGATTATAATTATTTACATGTATGTGCATTTTAAACGAACAATATCAAATGTTTTACTTTACAAACTTAAATGTATTTCGCATTTGCTAGAGCATACTTTTCTAAATAAAATATAAAGTTTATTTAAATTAATTAATTTTAATGTATTTGCATATAAAATTCAGGCACCTCCAATCGATATAAAAGTTGTTGTTGTTCGCCATTTTGCAAATTTACAATAGTTTAAATATAAGCTAGAAGTTCAGTTTTCCATTTCAATGCGCTCCAAAGGCATTTAACCACAAACCCACCATCTCCACCATAATACTTTTAGAATGCCAACAAAGAAAAACGAAAGCTAACTAATACAATCAACACTATCAACTGTATGTTTTAGATATACGTATGAATGTATATTAGGGTGTTCCAGAATATGAGAAGTGAATTTTTTTCTGGGAAATTTTTTTTTTCTTTTTAACCTAAGTAACATATATATCATATGCATATATTAGGAATGCCAACGTGAGATAATAATTTTCTCAGTACATTTTTTGATGTTCCGCCAGCATTCTATAAGAGAGCCTCAAATTATATCCGACAGTTAATATGGGCATTCGGGCATCATTTCAAACAAGAATGCAAAAAAACTAAATATAAAATGATCAAAATTATGCGCTTCAAATCGCTAGCCAACAATGGATAGGATGCTGAGGAACTCTGCGATTGAGCTCCATT